CTGGCCACTGTGATTTTCAGCCCTGGATTCATGACACAGACATATCAGTGAGGTGTCACTGTACTCTAGGAACCAGGAAAATGAAACTGAAGGGATAGTATGAATAGTCAGTTCCCCAACCTCTAAATTATTTGAAAGTTCCTCATCATGCCCTTTGGTGGAGAGTACAAACAGTCATTAAATCTTGCTTCTCTTGTTGACTCTACATCTGATGGCTCAGGGATGTTGCACAGATGACGTATCTCCTCTTTACCTCTGTTTTCTCACCTCTCTGGTGATTTGGATTGGCTGTCTACCTACCCAAAGATTGTGTTGGGAGCCAAAGCTGTAAAGCACTTTGTAAGCCACACAGTGGTCTGCAGATGGGAGAGGCTTTTTAGGATTACAGAGTTGGGCTGGTTTTTTACTTTCCTTATTATCAGACCACCCACCATGTTCCAGCTACATCTCTGTGAGTTCATATGTATTACAGTATTTAGTACTCATTCCTTAGGCAGCAGCCTTAGATTGTTTTAAATCCCTTGTTTTTCTGGTTTGTTTAATTACTGCTATGGCAACAACATCATTTTTTTCTGCCTTTTTAAAACTTAATATGGGTTAATCTGAGTTTTGTGGGTGGGCCTGGGAACCCCATCAACATTTATAGCTTTATTTCTGTGGAAAAATTGCTTCCAAGCATCAAACAACCAATTACAAGGGAAGTTTTGGAACACCACCAGTTTGTAAGTTGGGACTGCTGTACTCTTTTGCATTGTTCTTTAATTAATCTGGAATGATGGCTAATCTCCCCAATGGGATTATAGACTTCTTTCTCTTTTTTTTTTTTTTTTTTTGAGATGGAGTCTCACTCTGTCACCCAGGCTGAAGTGCAGTGGCACACTCACAACCACCCCAGTATTGACCTGCTGGGATCCTGCGATCCTTCAGCCTCAGCCTTCCAGTAACTGGAACTACAGGCGCACGCTACCACGCCCAGCTAATTTTTTATTTATTGTAGAAACGAGGTCTCACCAAGTTGCCCAGGCTGGTCTCGAACCCATGGGCTTAGGCAATCCACTGACCTCAGCCTCCCAAAGTACTGGAATTACAGGCTGAGCCACCAAGCCCAGCCAATTATCGACTTCTTAAGGGTGGGCACTACATCTTGCATGGATCCTCTGTAATACCAGCAGGTACCAAGCTCAAGAATGTATTCAACAAATACCTGGTTAATTCTTCCAAAGCCCAGCTGTCTGTCTGCCTCCAAGAAATGGGTGCCGATTAGAGTCACTGTCGGTACCCCCTGGAAACCTCTATGGTAATCATTGAATGATATACCATCAAACTTGATGACTCACAGATGAGGCCCAGGGCCACATTGTGATCTGTCCAGATTTGTTTGGCTGAATGCTAATTGTAGTAGTAGTAGTAACAATATCAATTAATTTTTTCAATACTTAGTATATGCCAACAATTTTCTAGATGTCTTACTTTATATATACAATTTTAATTTTTAAAATGTGGGGTAAAATTCAGGATTAGGTATACAAGTGGACATCGTATGTTTTACTTTTGTTAATGTACTTACTATTCACAAATAATTTTTAGATTGTTATTTTTATTATTTCCATTTTGCAGATGAAGAGACTGAGGCCCAAAGAGTTTCAGCAACTTGCTTAAGGTCACAGAGCTGTTAAAAATACAAAATGGAGATTCAAATCCAGGTAGCCTGGCTCCAGAGCCCATATTCTCAACCCCTGTGCCATACTGCCCAAGTTCTAAAAAAGCAACAGTAAAACCTGCTGTCTTGACTGTCACCCAGTGACCTTCTTTACTGGGAATACTTTGCATAATAATGCAGTGCTGGCATTTTCACTGGCTTCATGTCATGTGATCTGTATTATTAAATCCTTGGGCAGTAGGCAAGATAAGTACTTTTTATTTATTATGTATTTGTTTATTTTTTACTGCTTACATATGCCTTCTACCAAGTACAAACAGTACAGAAAAGTACAAAAGTAACCCAAATGACTCTTAAAATTCTTCCATCCAAAGCTAAAATCTGGATCGGCATTTTGGCAAACATTCTTATAGACATCTCTGTTTGACACATATATGTATAGATACGTATTTGCCATTGGATATAATTGAGACTTCATTCAAGATGCATTTCTGTGACCAAGTGAGTAGTATTTCTGTCAGCATTGGACTGTGAGGACACCGCAGCCTAGGAGAAGGTAGTGATTTGTCCTGCCAGAGCCAGTACATGGTTGGGAGTTCAATCCTGTATGGGTTTTTTGGCTTTTATGAAACTCTTGAAGTAAGACCACATTTATTTTCTGACACTTTTTGCTTCTGTTCAAACACTTTCCTCCCAGCACCCAGTCCTGGCTCTGAACCAAGTAGTCTCTCATGGCTCTGGTGCTCTGTCATCTTTCCTGGAAGTTTGACCTACTAAAGAAGTAGTTCTGGGTACTTAGTAAGTTGGAATATTTATGCAGCTATTAATAAAACCCAATAAAAATGGCAGTTGCACTTTCACGTAGCCAGTGATGGTGGTGGTTTACTGGCCCTGTGAAACTTCAGCTGAGTCAGTGTCCTTTGAAGTCGCACAGCAGTTGCAAATATGGCTCAGTCCTGGGTGGTGAGTGCCCCAGTGCCCCTTTTCATTCCTCACCAAGCCACGCTTCCAGGGGAGATGATCTGGAGGGCAAGAGAAAGATGCTCATCACCTCATCCTAAACCAACTTCCCTTCCTATGATACTTATTCTTGGATTGGTATCTAGTTCTGCTGAAAATGAAATCATATATCCAACTCTCAGGCTGTGTTAGTGAAAATGAACTCTAATGTGATTAGATATTAATGCAATGTAATGGAGGATTGGTATTAAATTGAGACCTTCTGATCTTATTGCTCATCACACGTGCCTTCCTGCTCAGGCTGCTGCCCTGCCAGCCCTGCTTCCTAAGCAACAGCGAGGGGTGGTAGGACTAGAGCCCTGCACCCCAAGAGGAAGCCTGGCTAGGGAGCAGGGAGAGGAGGAGAGAGAGCAGCAAGGGAGAAGGGAGGCCCAGGCTCATGCCCCAGCTCTGCCCAGAACACACCCAGCAAGGCCTCACTGCCTTGGGCCTCCTCTGTGTTGTGGAGGAGGCAGTGAGTGGACCACAGGGCCATGATTCCAAGCTCATCTACACTCTGAGAGCCACACATGTTCTTGAGGTCCAAGAGTTTCCAACTATGAAGTTTTGCCTTTATTTCCAGAAGTGCTTTGACAGGCACAGGGCTAGAAAGCTAAGAAGAACAAATCTTCACTCCATCTCCTCCACTCCCACCACCCTTCCCACCTCTGTCCTTTTTGTGAAACTGTGACCTGAACCTAATATTTGTCATTGGCTGTTGTTGCTTGTCCTTAGTTCTGTTTCCCTTTCCTAGAGGCATGATCTGAGAAGCAGGCAGTGGACTATAGCCTCCTATAGGGAGAGGGACGGGACTGAGATCCCATGCAGTGTGAACTTTGGCCAGGGCAGCTCCCCTTGCTTCCCCTGACCTGCTGGAGAAAGGACATGAGTAAGTGTTGAGTTCGGAAGCAACAGCTAGGCCTGTGGAAACCCTGCAGGGCCTCGCCGACTCCCCCTGGCCTACAAGCTCTATCCCATCCCTTTCAGCCCACTCCCCAGGAGAACTGAGGGGGCGGTATCTGGAAGAACAACAGTCTTCCACCAAGAAAATGGGCCACAAGTACAAGCCCTGGGCATGGTCAGATGGCATCACCTCCATGTATGAATAATAGTGCTTTTACAGAGAGGTGATTTTTCTTATTCTGTTTCTAGAACACTGCTTTCAAAGGCACAGGCTTTGCATACAAGATGGTAACGACTTTTTAATGACCTTAAGGGGACTGGTGTCCAGGCAGCAGTGAATCAATCTCAGTGGGAGGTTCATAGCGAGAGAGAAGATGGAACACCTGAAACTGAAGGGGAAAAGCAAACTGCAAATACATATATTTTCTTTGCTAGTCTTACTCGGTAATTAGACAATTACAGGAAACAGCTTCTCGGCAGCTGGCATTTCCACCGTGAGAGTGGAGGAGGATGGCAACAACTGTGAACTCCGCACATTTATTACAGAAAATATGACTGGAGTTTACAGTTGTGGGTGCGTGCACTCCCCTGGTGCATTCTGATGAGCTGCAGAGTGGCAAACCTGGCATGGAACTCCTCCTCTCAGGGGCTGTTCAGGGCCTGCCTGGCTGGGTCCTAAATGAGCTGGCCTGGCCCAGGCTGATCAGTGAGAAATTGCCTTTAAAATATTGGACACTTAAAATATTATGCTCTTGAAACCACCCAGAGAGACCAGTCCTGAGACTAGACTGGAGCAAGAAAAAAGGGATGGAGGCCTGTGGAAAACTTGCCTCGCTGGTGCTGTCTCTCACGTAGGAGATCAGATGATCATGAGTGACCCCAAGTGCTAGGACTCCATGGCCCTCCCACATCCCTGCCCTCCTTGGAACTCTCCTCCTCCCAGAAGCCTCCTGTGATGAGTAAATGTTCCCCCTTGTGTGCGCGTCTGATGAATTACTGCAGTCATTCTGCTGGCGGTCCTCTGATATGGGCCCCATTGTGGTCCCATTTTATAGATGAGGAGATGTATTTTATGAATTCCTACCAACTCCGGTTGTGTTTAGATTTGTCCACACTCTTGTCGTGATGTACACTTGTGCTTGTTTTGGAGGGCTTTATAAGAATCCCAAGTCACATTCACAAATGAGTAGGAGTGCCTTCTGTGATGAGGGCAGAGGCTTCTGGATGAGGACACTGTATATTTTCTGCCTCTCTCAACCACAAACAGGTACAGCAGTACCCCCATCCCTCCTGAAGCACAGGTCTCCTGAGAACAGGAGGCCTAGGAAGTTGTACCTAGGGAGTTGCACCACCTCAGGGGGTGCAACTCCTTGGCCACACTGTCAGCAGGGTAAACTATGCCATCTAACCAGGCAAATGGTTGTGATTTCTCTCTCAGGTCCTGGCAGTCCGTAACTTTTGAAAGGCAGCCTGCCTCCTTCATCCGGATCGTTGGAACACACAACACAGCAAATGAGGTAAGGGTCTCTTTTCATGAGAGGTGCTGTGATATTTCATGATGTACGGGTAAATGCTACATCCTAAGTTAAGTGGAACTGTTTGTTCTGCCCGCTAATGGCCTGTTGTTCAGACAGCTTGGTACAGAGAAAGTCCTGGTATTGCACAGTGGGGATATCATTATCATTTCTGGATGTCTCCTCACTAGCAAATGAAAGCCAACTCCTATTGCTTTGCTTATTCCCACAGCCTCTCTGCAGAATCAGCCACCACAGAGACCTTGAGAGGTCAGATACTCTGTCCCTTGACTCTGAGTCCTCAGAGTCCTTGGCCCTCCCAAATGACAACAGTTTTATGAGGTTCCTCTGAGCATGGTATCTAGCAGATGGCCATGCTGCTGACTCGGATTGCTTGTCACACTCTTGCTTTTATGTAGTCATTCTGTGTCTAGTGTATACTCTGAAGGACCTCTGGTTAAAGACAGGAAGCGTGAGGAATGATAAGGTTGGAATTCAAGACATAAAAAAGCAGCATAAAAATAGTACCAACTCTGTAATTTCACCTTTCCATACTCCTCCTCAGATCTATACAGGACTGACTTTGTGCGTGTGCCCAGGACAGTGGCATGGGGTCCATGCTTGGGGTTTAATGCTCTGTGGCACCATGTTGAAGTTCTTAGGCTTTTACTTTTGAATTGTTGTTTTGTAAGGGAAACGCTGTGTGACAGTGGAACGTACCCCAAGGGCTTGGAGTCTAGCCCACACATGATCCTTCCTCCTGCTGCATCTACTTCCCAGGATGAGTTCTCAGCTATCCACTCCCTAATCCCTGGTTCTGCTGCTTGGCCTCCCTCTCCTTGTCCTGCCCCACGACTTCTGCCACCCTCCACCTCCAGTGGTGGCCCTGTCAAAGGGATGGGGAGGGCCAGGGTCTGGTGTGAGTCCTGAGTATGAGTCACAGGACAGGGTCCTGGGTGCCTATGTGGGGCTGCACTGGCTGGAGTACATATCCCTATGAAGGTGCAGCATAAAGTAGCAAATATAAAACACCATGACAGCTCAAGAGGCTGTGGGAGGAAGGAGAAAACATCTCTCTTGCTTTCTGAACTCTGAATTTTCATCTAGTAACTGGACCTCACATATTACAGAGCAGGCCATCCTGTATTGTTGTGGGATCAAATTTGCTCAGAAAACAACAAGGTGTTCCTTGTACTTCAAAAAAACACTTTTAAAAGGGAAAATATTGTGATAATTTATATTTATTTTGCCTTTTTATTTATTTAGAATAAAAATGATCCATTCCCATAAGGTGTCTCTTACGGAAAGGAACTTGTAAACAGAAACCTAGAACTTTTTCTCTTACTTCTTTATTTCAAAACAAACCTAAAAATTATAAAAGTAATTTAAAACTGAAATTTTTTTAAGCAAAATTCAAGAATTCTACACATCAGTTAAGTAAAGCACTTCTTTCTTTTTTCATGATGTAACACAGGTAAACTTATTTCTTGTGGTTTTTTTTTTTTTTAATTTTAAATTCAGGGGGTACATATGCAGGTTTGTTACATGGTATATTGCATGATGGTGAGGTTTGGACTTCTGTCAAACATGTCATCCAAATAGTGAGCATGGTACCCAGTAGGTATTTTTTCAACCCTTTCCCCTTCTCTTCCCCCCAAAAATACATTTGTATCTATATTTTAATATATATTTGATGCTCAAACTAACAGTATATTTTAAAAATTTGCCCATAAATGCTAATTCTTTTTTCTTTTTTTTTTTGAGTTGGAGTCTCACTCTGTTACCCAGACTGGATACAGTGGCCGCTCCCGGCCACCGCAGCCTCGACTCACTGGGCTCTGGTGATCCTTCTGCCTCAGCCTTCCAAGTAGCTGGAACTACAGGCACGCATTACCACGCCCGGCTAATTTTTGATTTATTGTAGAGATGAGGTCTCGCCAAGTTGCCCAGGTGGGTCACGAACCCGCGGGCTCAGGCAATTCACTCACCTCGGCCTCCCAAGGCGCGGGATGACAGGCTGAGCCACTGAGCCCGGCCTAATTTTTCTAATCACTTAAGCGATATTAAATTATTGTGTGTACTACTTACTAAATTTGAAAACAATTGAAATTTATCTTTACATAGTAACATATCAAAATAGAAATAAATATTTTTCATTTGCAGCCTTTTTTTCTTATACAGTCCAGTTTTTTGTTTTTGTTTGTTTGTTTCTCAGTGGAACTCTGCAATTTTGTGTTATAACAGAAGGAATTCTCAGGTCAGAAAAGACTGAGAAACACCAACATGAGTCTGGGCAGGGTCTCTTCTACTTCCAGACCTGCACTCAGTCCCAGCTTCATCATCTCAGTGACCAAAGGAAGAAAAAGAATCTTGGACATTATTTTCTCAAAGCAATGCTAGATGAAGAATTATTCCCTACTGCAAAGGCCTCCAGTTGGAGTGCAAGAGCTCTCTTCCAGGATGGGTTTCCCAAAAACACCTGTGCAGCGGTTCCCAGTCTCTGGAGGAGACTGGACCAACCAGTTTGATTGGGTTGTCTAGTAGGTCACTAGTTAACTGTGATTGGTCCCATTGGGCTGATAAATAACTTGCTCAGTTGCCTTATTGAATCCATTATTGATCAGGGAAAAAAACCTCAAAGTGGTATTGCCAACTGGAAAACATCTTAAGTTATAAAATAAATAATAAATAGAATATCATTCTCAGAGCACACAAGAAGACACAATAAAATCGAATTCCATAGGGTATTAAGAATATAGCAAGCCCTCAAAGAGGATTTTTTTTTTTTTTAACTGCAGCATACTGAGTTCTGGGACATTATTTGGAAAAAGTAATATCCCCTATCTTAGAGAACAGTGGATATGTGTGTAAGCCAGTATGGCAAAGTTCAGAGGTGTCAAGGACAGGGTCCCATCAAGGAAGGAGGTGATGTGGGCTGGTCAGGCAGGCCTCCAGAGGTGACAGCTTGAGAGGAGACCTGGGAGGACAGCACAGATTGGAGGGCGCTCACTGCTTTATGGGGGTGGTGGGCAGGGAGACAGCAACTGAGGAAAGGAGGCTGGTAATGATAGTCTAGGACAACCCTAAGCCAAGTCCCAGGGAGCCAGAACTGTGAAATAGGAGTTTGTCCCATAAGACCCCGTAATCCCCTTACGAGAAATATACCTGGAGGAACTCAAATCACTCTATGAAAAAGATACCTGCACACACATGTTTATTGCAGCATTGTTTCCATAGCAAAAACATGGAACGAACCATGCTGCCCATTGAAAGAGGACTGGATAAAAAAAAAAAATGTGGCGCATATATACAATGGAATATTACACAGCCATAAAGGACAAAATTATGAACTTTGCAGCAACTTGGATGGATACTGAGTGATCTAGCACAGAAACAATCTAGTATCACATGTTCTTACTCATTAGCAGACCTTGAACAACTATCATTAATACTATAAGAAAGGGATTGGCAGTAGTGGGAAACTGCCAGGGATAGGGGATACACACCTCATCAACAAGGTTACCTGCATAATGAAATATTTGCATACCTAACCCTGAATTGTACCCCACATATTTAAAATAAAATTTTTTTTTAAAAAGAAAAGAAATAGGGGTCAAGACACCCCTGGAGAGTGGCCTAGAGGGCAGGGGATACAAGGTTTTCTCGATTTGTCCCTGTTTGTTTGCCAAGCAACACCAGCTCCTGTCTCAATCTGCTTGGGCTGCTATCAAAGAATATCATAGGCTGAGAGGCTGAAACAACACATATTGACTTCTCACCGTTCTGGAGGCTAGAAGTCCAGGTCAGCATGTTAGCAGGGTCTGGGTTATGTTTTCACATTGCCTTCCTTGGAGCAAGCTCTCAGAAAGAACAAACTGTTCTTTTTTCTCTTTGTATATAAGAACACTAATCCCAGCCGGGCTCGGTGACTCAGCCTGTAATCCCGCACCTTTGAGAGGCTGAGGTGAGTGGATTGCCTGAGCCCGCAGGTTCGAGACCCGCCTGGGCAGGCGAGACCTCATCTCTACAATAAATTTAAAAAAAAAAAAAATTAGCTGGACATGGTAGTGCACATCTGTAGTTCCAGCTACTTGGAAGGCTGAGGCAGAAGGATTGCCGGAGCCTAGCGGGTCGAGGCTGCGGTGGCCGGAAGCAGCCACTGCACTCCAGTCTGGGTGACAGAGTGAGACTCCAACTCAAAAAAAAAAAAGAACACTAATCCCATCATGGGGCCCCTACTGTCATGACCTCGTCTAGACCTGATCACCACCCATAGGCCCCATCTCCTAATACCATTCCACTAGGGGTCAGGGCTTCAGCATATGAATTTGGCAGGGACAGTAACATGCAGTCCCTAGCAGTGGCTTTTGTTTTAGTCAGAGCCAGGACTTGTTTCCCTTTAGCTATTGAATGTCTGTGAACTCAAAGACTTTGTGCTAATTTCAAGAAGTATAGGTGGAATTGGGTTTTAGCATGGAAAAGTAACTTTGTGTACATAAAAAGAATTGTAGATGAATAAACTCTCTGCCACATCACCCAGGTAGGCCTGTTTTCTGTAGGTGCTGCCCTATCCAGAGATATTCCTGTGGGGAGAGCTGAGGATGGTAGGCCATGCATCGTGGAGGGGCTCCTGTGAGGAGATGGTAAATGGGCAGTTTGGGAAAAGGGGAGAAGTGGCCCGGACAGTGTATAAGTGGCCAGAGCTGGCAGCAGTTAAGAGAGACCCTAAGTAGTTAAACAGGACTAGGAGCCCAGTGAGTTCACAACTATGCGACTATGACCATGGAAACCACCCTGGCCTCCAAATGTCCTGCCGCTGTGGACCAGCAGAGGGCAGACACCAGGTGGTGAGTGAAAGCCTTGAGCTCATCTAAGACAGGCTGGGATTTCCTGCCCCACTGTAGGAGTGTGTCTGTCTCTCCCGTCAGCCAGGCCTTCCTGCTCCCAGAGGCTCAGCATCTGTCTGCTACATGCTAATTCTCCCACTTCCCCAGGGCTGCCCA